AATCAAATGATAATACTAGTATCGCAAAAGCTTTTACCTAAAACTCACTCTAATAATAATCAAAAGTGCTTTGTGATACCATCTTCCAACTTATCCCTTTCGGACCAAGTTTCTCCCTGAATATCTTAGTGATCCGCCTTGAAGCATCACATGATGGCTCCAACCTAACATTTTATAGAAATTTACATGTACTTACATAAGAGTTGAACCGGGTAGAAAAGTCATCTTCCAATCTTCGATCAATCTCTTTCCTCATAATGTTCGGATCAAGGTTCTGTAACTCAGATATATATAAATGCTTGCATATGAAAAAAATTCATAAAGTTTAAATGACACAGAGTAAAATGAAGCAAATAAGTCAAAACTTGCAAAGTTATAAGAGGACTTACTTAACAAACGAACCTACTTCAATGCAATTAAGAAGTATACATGTATAAGTCGCTCGATGCTCTTCAACAATCATCCGTCTTCTTTTTGATTTCCCAATTGGCCAACTAGGATGAGTAAAAATTGAAAGATTTTCTTCGATTTTCTCCCCACTAATGGTTCCAACATCACCATTTTGTGGCACTCGTCAATGTCTTGTTTCAACATGTGGCTCAAAGTGGTGTGCACAAAACAATGACGTCTCTTGTACAAGATAGGCATTACCAATTGAACCTTTAACTTTTGCTTTGCTCCTAGCATTTTTTTTAAGATAACCATTATACCTATCACATCCTCACTAATTGGTTAAACATGATTTTAAAGTTGGTTAAATCTTTAGTAAACAGTTACAAAGGTATTGGATAGCGATACCTCTTGAATGGATACATCCAACGATATTGAATTGAGCCGACAACTTTTGCTTCATGAGCAATATGCACTGGAAAAATACATTAATAGTGTGTGTGCTTTTTTTGATGTAGGTCATACTGATGTCAAAATTGGTCATAACATGTGAACACGATTCGCCTAACACGCGAAATAAATAGGTTAGAGTTAAGGTTAAACGAGTACGTGTCATAAACGAGTCACCCATTTATTACACGAATATAAACGTATTGTGTTGCGGGTTGACACACGGATTTAGGCGAATAACCTGTTTATTTAAGAGTAAAGAGGTAATTTTAATATTAGATATAAATACTCCAACTAAAACCTATTTAAATTTTATTGTTGTATCAATTGTTATTTTAATTATAAATCTTGAATAATTCAAACATTTTACGTATGAAATTTTATTTTTAAATATTATTGGAGTTAAATAGGCTAAAAAAGTTAAACATACTATAAGTAGATTAAGTGGTTAGTATATAGGTCAACACATCCACTTAACCTATTTATGGTATTAAGCGGGTTACATGAGTTGTAGATGGGTCAACACGACCCACTTAACCTGTTTTTACGTATGAGAATTTTAATTTTTAAATTTATTATTGGAGGTTAAATAGGAACCTAGAAAAGAAGTTAAACATCTATGATAATTAATGGTTATAGTATATAGGTCAACTACATACCACAGGTCAACACATCCACTTAACCTATTTATGGTATTAAGCGGGTTACATGAGTTGTAGATGGGTCAACACGACCCACTTAACCTGTTTATGATATTAAGAGGGTTAAACGTGTCGTGTTCGTGTCATCAGTCTAATTTTCGTTTTGTGTTTTTATCAAAGTTATAAAAAATTATTTCATCCTTTAATATTGCTCCGCGCATCACGTTGGTTCTAATCTAGTAAAAATAAAAAAAAAATAAAAAACACAAAATCCATACATAGACAGTAAAATGGGCAAATATCACACGCACATTACATATATATCAAGGATATTAACCATGAAACAGTTGTATCTCAGTTGATTTTGTGTTAGGTTTTATAAGGAATAAATAAAATAAAAAAAAAAGAAGAAACTAAGAAATGGTTCAAATTGTACTTATTGTAGCAAAATCCCCGTCGTTTGGACCACCACTCATCGGCGTGGACAAAAATATGGGACAACTGATAATAGACTCATCAGCGCTAGGCTCTGCTCTCTTTTCTGTTAAGTCTAGATGTCAAAGAGAAAAAAATAAGGGGAGCACGAAAGAGAAGAAGGAATAGCAAGCGAAATAAAATCCAGTGAGAATTTTAAACTTAAAAATCCCTAGATCCAACTTTCATCGATAACAAGTTCCAAACCCATCGGTATATTTAATTAAAAAATAAAAAAATTTTATAAATATTTTAACGATCCATTTGGTTAGTAATCGATAGCTACCTTCTCCGCCATTTACATGCGCCACATTTACCAATCATTTTGGTCGTTAATTTGATTGGTTAGTATTTACCGATGAAATAGCAACCAAACTTGATCGCTATATTTGTTTAACATTTTCAAAAATTATCAAATTTATTTTAGTCATCGTCGGTAAATACCTACAGCTTAAATTGCGCAGTTAATTCGCATCCATATTTACCGATTTTTTTTAGTGTCCACCTTCTTTCTCAATTGCTCTCTTAATCTTGCTTAAAGTAAAAATATAGAGAGATATTTCATGAGCATGTGCAGATAATATATATATATATATATATATATATATATATATATATAATATATAAATTATCCAATTATTCATAACATTACTGCTAACATTATCCTCTGAAGTAAAAAGTAAAAGAAAGGTAGAAAGTTTAAGCATAACACCAAACATAAAACTCCAAAGTCAAAAAACCTATCTCTTGTATTGCATTAGATTGAAAGAAATTGCATCAAAAAAATATTCTAAAAATAAGGGAAAAAAAAATGTAGAGCCCAATAAATATATAAAGTAATTAAATATTGGATAAATATTATCCAATTATTCATAAATTACTGCTAACAGTTATCTCTGAAGTAAAAAGTAAAAGAAAGGTAGAAAGTTAAGCATAACACCAAACATAAACTCCAAAGTCAAACAACCTATCTCTTTATTGCATTAGATTGAAAGGAAATTGCATCAAAAAAATATTCTAAAATAAGGAAAAAAAATGTAGAGCCCAATAAATATATAAAGTAATTGAAAAATATTGGATAAATATGATTTTTACTAATTAAAAATTTTTTAATGTGACAGCCTAAAGTAGGCAACTTTCTTTTTTCCACATTTACTTGTGAAAAAAATTTGAGCAATATATGTATTTTCTGTTATCATTAATTTAAGCTAATAAATAGGGGATTTGATTTTCATACCAACTTTACATAAAAAAAAAAAAAAAAATTGGTAACATCTTTAATTTTTGAATTAATCTACTTAATTCTTGACATTGCAAAACCCATCAAATATTTCAATTGAACATTTATCCCATAAAATTATACTTATTGAACTTTTATTAAATAATATAAAAATCATAGTTTAATAATTTGTGTCGAAAGATGTATAAAATATTATGCTTTGTTTTTTTTTTTTAAAGGAAAATATTGTGCTCTTTGAACATATATACAATAATTGAAAAATATTCAATAATTTTACTAATTTAAAACTTTTCAATGCGACAGCCTAAAAGTAAAGGGTGCAACCTTCTTTTTGTATAATTTTTTACAATTACTTGTGAATTTATAGATTAAGCCTGTTGATGGAGACTCATAATTGAAGGACATGGGCATGTCTTCATTTCTTCACTTCATCATATCCAGAAACAGGGTACAGTAGTTGGATGCCCACGACATTGTTGGTATCAAGTATAAGTGCCACCTACACGTAATAACACTTGTTGGGCCAACCCAATCCAGTACGTGCCTTTTGTAACGGATTGAATTATTAAAGACATTATTGACTTAGCTATCATTTGTTATTTGGTTGTAAATGTGAGAATAATTATCGGGTTTAATTCATATTAAACACATTTATAAAAAGAAAAAAAGGTGAAAAGCTTTAACTGTAATTAGACCCCGAGTCGAATTAAACGGTCTCTAATAATAAAATTTGAATACCGGTGATTGAAAAAAAAAAAAAAACCAGTATTGACTCTTAAGAACACACCGACAATGGGTGGGGAAGGGGAAATTGGTTCCGCAAAACAATACATGGGTAAAATGCTAATCAGTTAACACCCACTACAGGGCCCTCTCAATTCCTTTGCCTGTTCAATTGCTAAATTAGTATTGAAGTCTCTTTGTTGCAGAAATTATTTCCAATTGGTAAAAATTAGAGCTAAGTTGAATTATTTCTTAAAAGAATTAAATTTAGTTTTGAATATCATCTACTAGTACTATCAACCCAAATTTATTTATTATTATAAGTTTTGATTCATCTTTTTTCCTATTATTCATTGAGAGATTTAATGGGCCAAAATAATATTGCGGGCTATATAACAGTGGTACCCTTCCCTGGACTCAACAAATTAGTGAAAACACATATGGTTAAAAGATCTCAAATTTGAAACCTCCCACACTTCACATAAGTGAGAAGACCAATCAGACTACACCTAATTGACAGATTTAATTCATCTTTAATTGTTAAATATTGCACTGCTATAATTTTTTCAAAAAGATTAATCTGTTATGTTTATAAGTTAGGACTCCACTCCTATCTATAGTCCATTGCATATAACATAAACTAGTTCTCTTTCAATGAATACTACCTCAATAATATTTGAATTTGAAACTAAAGTTTTTTAATAGAGATTTACAAGGTCTTGAATGTAATAATTTAAAAAAAAAAAATTCTTGATATATTAAGCTACTATGCATGCAAATGCAGAATATCCTTTGCTTTCTTTGTGCTATTCTTTTTCTTTTTTCCCCCATCATTTATGTAAGCAAACTACATAGAACGAAACCTTTGTACCAATCAAAGTAGCACTAACACTAATATATATAGTTTTTTTTTTTTTTTAAGTTATCCAAATTAGATTGGATGTATTTGGAGACTTTATTAGGATAGCACTTGGATAATTTAAATTTTTCTTGGACATTATAATTCTAATAAAATTAAATTTAGTTTGTCCATATATATATATATACACTTGCAGAGAAAAAGGGTGGTAGAGGGGGAGAGAAAAAGAAAGACAAGCATTGAATTGAAATGTGAAACTTATCCCATTTCTATGAATTTATTTCCTACCAAAACCCAATGCCAACAGCAACAAAACAATGAACAAAAACAAAAAGCTACAACATCTCACAATTACAATCCATGTTTCATCTATGATATCTACTTAAGGGTCATCAAAACCCAGAAGCTGCTTTTTTCACTCTGTCTCTCTTTCTCTTCTTACCCTCTCTGTATATAATTGAGATACCAAAAGAACCATTATAACAATGTGTCTGTAGTTTCCTTAACAATGTACTTGAATATTCACAAAAAATAAAGCTCTCTAAGCTCGAGTTATCATCCACTCGATTATTTTTGCTCAATCTAAAAGAATATCGCCTTTCCTTTCCTTCCTTTTCTTTTTTTCCCCATCAGTTTATACAAAGCTCCAGAGTGATGCTAATGGCGTATATATATAAAGGCGAGGAATTGTTGAAAGAAATACTGCACCAAACTGTTTGTTACTGACTTAAAACTGTGAACTTAAGATTGAGGGACAAAGGTGCCAACGTATCCGAATCCAATGATGAAGAAGGCAATTGCTTGTGCAAATAGATATAGGAAGTAGTGGTTTTTCCCAAATGCAACATCGTAGCAACCGCAGAAGAATAAGTAAGCTCCAGTTCCAAGCTCTAATAGGTGGAGCCTGTCATATTTCATATGGCAAATGCAGAGTCAGACATTCTTTTTTCCAACTCAAGATGACTTAACTCGTTAATATTCGACGTTCTAACCCTTTACTAACAGAGAAAAGAAAAGTTATGAGAAGGGTTAGTCATGAGAAGGGTTACCCTTTACCCTTACTCTGTAACTTGCATTTTTTCTACTATAATAGTTTTTAACAATTTAGTGTAACCCGCATTTTTTATACTATAATAGTTTTAAACAATTTAGTTAGTCATCAGGAGCGCTATCCTTACGGTGTAACTCGCAGTATGCTCAATGGACCTCTTAATGAATACAAAAAAAAAATTAGAAGGATAATAAATACCTCTCTCCAAATTTAAATCGAGGTTTCTTGGGTGCTTTGACAGCTTTTGACTTAACAGCATCACCTAGTTTCTCAGTGACAATCCATTCATTGACTCTGCTAGCTTCTAACAAGCCAATGAAGGTAGCCTTAGTACGGTGCAATGACATGACATTCTCGAAAAGGATCCAGAAGACCAACAAATGCAAGGATCTATAACAGCAACATAAAATATCAAATTAATTCACAGATTTAGAAATTTTCCAAAAAAAAAAAAAAAAAGGAATTTGCAAGAAAAATCAGACCTCGGAGTTCCAACTGCATTGAGTAAAGTAATTATGGAAGGAATATAAACAGCTCCCCACTTTGGAACTTCAACTTCAGGTACCAAAACAGTTGCAGGCAACACCACACAGTAGAATATAAATGTAACAATGTGGGCAACAATTTTCCTCACCAAGAAGAAGCTGTAGATCACATGTACCTTCTTCCACAATGTCACTTTCTGCATCCAGAACAAAAATTTGCGTTAATAAATAATCAGTTTAGAATTCATTACGATTTGAATTCACATTGTCATGTAATTTTCAAGATGATTTTAGTATCATTAGGCTAAAAGCACTTTGGCGGGGATTTTATTTTGTGACCATAACGAAATATAATGTAATCAAATGCAGTTTATAAAATAAATATTATACTAGAAATGCATTTAATTATATTATATTATATTCAATTTACGAGTAATGATCGAGCAGAACCCAGATCAGTTTCTGTTATTATATTTTCATTAGTCAATAAATGATTGATTTTTTTTTTTTTTTGGCTTATCACTATAATTACCTTATTTATTATGATCTCCATAACCATTTTCCTGAAGAGATTAGCAGGACCACAAGACCACCTATGCTGCTGATAGCGGTATGCCTTCAAAGTACTAGGCAATTCATTTTTCACCTGTAGTTAATATTTAAAACATTAATCACATATAAGAGAACATAATTAATTACAATAACCTGACACAATAATTAGATTAAATTTTTTTTTAACTATTATTCTTGTGGTTAGTGAGAATTCTTTTTTAATTCAAATTAAAATTGAATAAGCATGCTTATAAAAAGAAAGGAATAGGGTACTTAACCTTGAAATGAAGCAAATAATGAAGTACCTTCCTTTTTTTTTAACATAGCAGTGTGCACTTAACTCGTCAGCACATGAGCTTGTCAGATTTTTTAATTAATTAATTTTGTTGACTAATTAGGATTTTCCCTTAAACCAGCTAAGATTAATGACTTTCTAAACAGAAATTAAAAAAAAAAAGTAAAAAAGAACACTTCCACGTGACAGATTCTTAGAATCCTATAGAAATTGTGTGAGTGCTGTTTCCAAGTTTACTGTAACAACAAAGCAAGTAAATACTGCTTATTTTTGCAGTTCTTGTGTCTTTAGTGGGTGCATAGGCATGTGTAAATTTCTATATTAAATCATTTTAATAAATTTAAATATTATCTGTAAAGTAATTATTATGTAGAAACTGATATTATCTATAATATTAAAAATATTTACACTGCTGTATTTATTATGACTCAATGAAATTAAATAAGACAAATATAAAATATATTTTATTAAGACATATATTTTTTTTATTGGATAGGAAGAGAAGTTTATAAGTATAACAAGAATTAGGAAGAAGTTTAATTATGTTAAACAAAATTAATTATAAAAAATTATTAATAATTTTTTATAAATATCAATCATACGAATGTCTTTTTAGTTTTTTGTTAGGGATTACAATTACCTTAAGAGAACCAAGGTACAAAAATTTCCAGCCTTTGAGACTTGCACGGACGGCAAGGTCCATATCCTCAACTGTGGTTCTATCCTTCCAGCCTCCAGCTTCATTAAGTGCAGAAATTCTCCATACTCCTGCTGTCCCTGTTATTACCATAATAATAATTTTAAATTATTTTTTTAGAAAAAATTAAAATTAATTAAGGCCCTGTTTATGATTATTCTCATCTCGGAGCTCATGACCATCAATTTTAGAGAGTTTGTCCATAAGATATAACAAGACAAAAAAATAAGATGAGATCATGAATTTGACATGAGGCCTCCTCAAACCCTTTTTGTTTTTTTTTTTAAGAAAGAGTCGTTTGGATTCAAATTAATAGATTATTGAGCCGTTAGGTATAGTAAATTTGTGATTAGAAGTTAATGAATTTACCATTGAAGCCAAAGAAGGCATAAGTAGAGGAGCCCACTTCTTGTTCAACAGTAAAATGGTAATCCAAAGACATTTCTTGCATTCTTGTCATCAAGCACTCATCAGAATTAACTGCAGAAAGAAATCCCACTCACTGAGTCAACTCATCAACACAAATAGCTGGCAGTACATTAATAATAATGATTATTGAAAACCCCAATTATATCTATTTTTTTCTACAACAAACATCAAATTCATGTGTCGGATAGCAGGTTGATATAGACAGTGACACTACGTTCAGGTCCACTATTAAAGCTTTGCACATGCAGCTGCTGGGAATATTAACGAGAAGAGACTTCTTTTTTTCAAAAAAAAAAAAAAATAATAATAATAAAAAGAAAAATTTCTCAGACATATCTACCCTGGAAATATTCTTGAATGGCCAAACATGCCTCCTATAAGCCTGGCCTTTTCATCTTTTGGCATTAATGGATATGTATATATATATATATATATATGTAAGGTGCAAGATGATCCACCCAAAAATCCAGCACTTTCTAATTGCCATGTAAATCAGAGGGTACTTTGGCAGCTTTTGCAGGAGAAAAGTGTGAATTAGCTAAGGAAAATATTGGTTCAGATGGACCATCCTATTCCTTGCCGGTCCATTTTCAATCAAGGCAAATTACATGTGTATTCAATTCTTCTTTTTTTTTTTGACATCAAGGTATAGTCTAGTAACAAGTGCATACTTGACTTTATAGTAGAACCAGGTTTGAAGTGCCATTCCCCAAAACTAAAAAAAAAAAAAAATTGCACAATTTTTATTTTATTTTATTTACAATATCTTATAATAATGAAATATAATACACTTTTTTGTCATTTTCCCCCTACACATGAGTAATTAAAAATATTTTTTATGTAAATGTTCATCGCTTCACACTAGATTTTTTTTTCTTTCTCCTTTTTAATTAAGGATAATATTTAAGTAAAATTTTTTAAACAGTTACAACTTTAAATTTTAATCTATGATCTTTCAAAATCTATTTTCACTAAATTAATAATTACATAACATTTTATAGCTTGAGAAATATAGGATCACTTCATAATGATGTGTATAAATAATAAATATATAATTTTTTTATTTCCTGTTGCCCTTCAATAGAAAAAAAAAACAATTTGACATTTTTCTATTCTATTTTGTAACACACACCAAAATGTACCATAAAACATTTTTTATTGGATTTTTTGAAAGAGAAAATTACTACTAGTTTTTAAGGATTTTCTTAGTTGACTTTTCTAACCACCTGTTTTCTTTCCTAACGTTAGATAATTATAATATCGATGAGATTTAAAAATTTTGATTTGACAGACTTATTTTATGAATCAAATAAAGTTAAAACGAGATTGAATTTTTAAAAAACTTAAATGGTTTAACCCGTAATTTTCTTTTCATAATTTATTTAAAATGACGATCTGACTTGACCGGTCACCACAATTAAAGTTTGATATTTAAAAGACTTATTTTAAATTTTAAAAAATATTAAATCCTTCTAAAATTTAATATTTTTAAACCATAATTTGAACGATCAATCCAACCCGGCCCTGAAAAGACTTCCACCCTATATTACTTTTTTTTGTCCCATTAATTATAGGTATGCTCGACTTATTAAATTAAGGCTAAATCCTATTGTTAATTATTATTATCAGTTAATCAATAGGTCATATAGGAGAACTAAAATTAGGCCTGCAACTTATTTCCTTTGCCCGTCCCGAAGATTTATTACTTGGAATAAAAAATTAAACCAACTTATTATTAAATCAGTGACCAATAGAGTCGCACCTTGAGGGCTGTGTTTTTCAATTTTAAAATAATTTCCCTAAGTTGGGGGTAGTTTAACATGTGGGACCCTATAAACAAACAAAAGCAAATGTCCAACGTGTCAGACTTTAGAATGGACAGCGTGGACAGACTACGACGCTTCCAACCGATCTCTATACCCCGTAAAAAAGACCCACCGACACATTCTTAAAACAGTGTTATGTGAAGTAAAAACAGAGAGAACTGTAAGCTACCATCGCAAAGTTCACCTTCTTTCCGTGAGAGTGACACGTAACATTCTTTTTTAACTTAACTACACGTGTAGCTCTCAAGAAGCGAAGGCAATGAGAAGGTGAAAAATGCCAGGGCAGCTTAGCAGTTCTAAAAAAGAGATCAGAGATTAACAAGCTAATTAAGGCAACTAAAATTGTGATTAAGCGAGATTACCGAATTTCCATCGGGCTTGCACGAGAGCCAATTGTGGGTTATGAACTAAGAAAGGAATGGTTCGCCATAGAAAGTCTGGTTCTGGTTGGAAATCTGCGTCGAAAATTACTACATAGTCGCAATGTTTAACGTAGCTTCGTTTCATCCCTTCTTTTAGAGCTCCGGCTTTATAACCATTTCTATTATCTCTTATTTCATATTTTATGTTTATGCCTTTACTTGCCCACCTCTGGCATTCTAGCTCCACCAAATCCTGCATTTTCATGGATTAACTATCATAATTTAATTTTCCATAGCATGTTCTTGAAAAATGGCGATGGATAGTTTACCTTAATAGTTGGATCTGTGGAGTCGTCAAGAACTTGGATTATGATTCGATCAGAAGGCCAGGAGAGGCCACATGCAGCTCCAATGGAAAGTTGATATACCTGCAAAGATTAAATAGCTGACAGTTTTAATTTCAGAGCAGAAGTTTCTATGCAATTGGGAAATGGGAATTAAAGAAAAGGAAAACGACCTCTCGTTCATTGTACATTGGGATTTGAACCAGAACCATGGGATACGCAGAGTTACCCAATTCAACATCGTCTTTCAAGGGCTCCCATTTGTAACGTTTTTCTGGTTTTCGACCAAAAAGCTTGACCAATATAATAACAATGCCCATGTAAACTCTTTCAATAAAAAGCATCAAGGACATTATCAGACAAATAGCAACTGCAAGCCTTAACAGAGGAACAATCAATGGCGCTTTGATCTGATCCCAAATGATTGAAAATTGCATTGAAATGTCATCTCTTGCACCTTGAAATGCATCTGGGATTACTGCTGTTGTCGTTAGCCGATCCATTTTGTGGGTTGTAGAGGAAAATTAGAAAGACAGAGGAGAAGATTGAAACAGAGTAATAGATGTTTGCTTATAGATTCTACAAGAAACCCATGAGATCTGAATGAGATTTAAAGAAATTTTTTTAAAAAAAAAAGAGCAAGAATATTTCTTCTTCTTCTTTTATTTTCCCTTTGCTTCCGGTATAAGTAAGACAATGGAGGCAGAGATGGAATGTCGGTGACTGCTTCAAAAACTCCAACACACTACACAGAGAAAATACCAGAAGAAGAAGATGAAGAAGATGAAGAAGAAGAAGAAGAGAAGGGCTAATACCAGAGACTCATGTACATTATAAAGAAAAGCTCCAGAACTAACTTAACAAGTAATGTTTCTCAGCTTTTCTTTTTTATGGTTTTTGTTCAAGAAAAGACAAGAAACAGGAAAGAATTTGTGCTCCTGTATTGAAACAGAAGCAAAACAATGGCAGTGGCGATACTAATGTTTGAGAAAAGCAGAGAGAAATAAATGAAGGCCAACAAAAATTGCTGCAGAATAATGCAACTTATATAAGCTCTCTCTCACTATGTCTATTCTTTCTTTTCCTTTTTATTTTTTGTTTTGTAACTTTTATTTTTTATTTTCTTTTTACTTTCTCTATTCTGACTATTCTACTTGTCTAGGCCTTAGAACCCCCGCTGTTCCAACACCAAGTATGCCTCTTAATTTAGGATTAATTATCATATTGACCTTCAACTTTTCTAATTAGTTCACTCAGATACCAAAAAAGTCTTTTTGCTAAATTAATCATTTTCAATTTTTAATTTAGATTGATTGAATACATAAATTCTGTGCAACAAAATGTGAATAAGTAGTAAAACATAATATCCTACGGGAATCTATACACTGTGTATTGTATGCGTGGTCACATACAATTTGTAGTTGAAAAATAAAATTTCATTTAAAGAATACTCGAATCCACTTCATTTATTAAACGAGTTTTATAAACAGACTTGAATTTAACTCATTAAATTTATAAAACGAGTTCAATTGTGTTTTTTCATTCGAAATTGGAGTAGCTCACAACCAACTTAACTCATTTGTAATCCTAAGTATACAAGTTACAAGGTAAATTTCTACTCAATTAGTATAAAATAAAAAATTCAAAAATAATTTAACTAAAAACAATTTAATATTTCAATTTAATATTTAACCCTTAAGGAGAGATTAGTTATAACCGGCGGTAGCCATCGCCACCTGATGTCATATTCCGGCGACGAGCATTTTAGTTTTTTATTTTAATTTATTTTGTGCACCTAATTTAAGAAAACAATTATTTAACTTTGTTTTTGTCCAAGCATAATTATTAAAAGTCTATAAGAAATAAATCTACTTTGTGAGTTGAAATCTTTTGTCGGTAATCGGTACATAGAATTAATGCCTGTTTTTTATAATTTGTTTTGTGAAAATAATGTAAGACCTACTTCTAACTTCTTTTTTCTCTTTAAAATCTATTTTTGCTAATATTATTATTTTTAAATTGTCTGATAACCTCATGATATGTTTATTTGCACAGCTGTTCAAAATGTGGAAAGGACAAGAAGGAAAGGAAATGGAGATATCAGATACGGATAAAAACGACGAGTTTTAGTGGCTTTTAGTCCAAATTTTACATGTTGGCAGAAGTGCCCTTTGTGTCCTTTACATAAATTAATACACAATACATGAACTATGTTTATCACCGACGCAATGATTCTTTTGCTCTTTCTTGGACTTACTCATACCTAGTCCCCATTTTTTATGTGCACAAATATGTAATTATAAGTAATGTTTTCTTTTTTTTTTTTTTTTCACATAGTTTACCCCTTGGACTCATAGTGATATTTAAATAGTTTCTAAAGGTAAAAAAATGAAAAAAATCATGAATACATAATTTAATCTCTGAATTTGATAAAAAAAAACGTTAATGCATCCTGAATTTTAAGATCAACCTTATGATACTTTAATTTCACTTTTTGTAATAATTTCATATCTGTTTACACTGAACATAGTAATTTTTAAGATTTTTGACTTTCTATGAAAAATATTAATTTGATATGTGGTTAATATTTTAAAAATGTAATTTTTACATATTTTAATTATCTAATAAATGTTTAATTCGATGTAATTTTAAAAGTTTATATATTCAATTGTTAAATAAAATGTTTAATAAGTCTAATTTTAAATTAGTATTCAATTGATCGAAGTAAAAATTAAAAAAATCCAATTTTGACAAAAAAATTTATGAGTACATGGAAGAACTTATGTATTGAAAGTTTTTATGAAATTATTTGTATTTTTTGGACTGTATTTTTTTCTTAACTATTTATTGGAATTTTTATGAAGAATGGAATTGAAATGCTTTTCTTTATTGTTAAAATATATTTTTTAGTTGTCCAGGGTACATGCCATAGTCACACAAATAATATGCGTACACGTTGTAATTTAGGTGGGCAAAGCATCTTTTTCCAAAATACGGAAAATTTTCAAATTTTAAATTGCTTGTACTTCATAATTTATTGACAATTACAATTCTAGTAAAGCTTTTGCTCCGCTGGTGGCTAAAATTGAGGTCCTAAAAATTTAAGTTACCAAACTTAATTCTTATTTATGCTAGTAGAACTCTCGTATCGGATCCATTAAACCCGATTTGCATCATAATGTATTTGAATCCTAAAATTTTAAAACGTGAAATTGAAAAGATAACTCATTAGAATTTTTTTTAACATAATATATAAAATTTCATTAGTAATTTTAAATCAATACAAATGATACATGAATGACAAGGTCCTCCTGAAAACCAAACATTAAACAGAACCGTCATAACTAAAATAAAATATTCCCTTTGTTCTCTTTATTTAGAGAAAATTTTCTTTTTGGATATATTCTTTATATAAAGAATTTTACTTTAAATAGTAACTTCGAATGCAAGCCAAGTTAAAAAGATTAGAAAGTCATTAGAATATATGCGTTTGTTTTAAAACTGAAGCTCAACAATCAAAAAAAATGTCAGACACAAATATTCTCAGCATTTAATGCACTCGTGTTTCAAAGGACAAGTTATCAACTCACTTTTTCATTTCGTATTATAGTAACAGTGGTCGTTTTTATAAATTTGGCCATAAAAGTAGTTCTGATATTAAAAGTCAAAATAATGGCCACATAAATATAAAGTTCACCCTTATTTATATGTTTGATGAATATATGTCCACTTTTATCATTGCAAATTATGCCACAACCGTTGACGTTATGAACGAATATATGTTATGTTCAGTTAAGTTTTCAAAACGACTACGTTTTGTTTTTAAAATTGCATGTTTGTTTTGATTATTCAAAAAAGGGGGAAATTAGAGTTTGGTTAGAAACTGTTCTCTTAAAAATCCCAAAAATCCGCCCTCTCTCCCACAACCACATTTTATGGTTTTGTTATTATTAGTTGTGCACTTCTGTAACTATATTGTGGCTTTGTTATTATTAGTTGTGCACTTTTTCAAATCTTTATAAGGGTTGTACTCTTTTGTAACCCACTTATAATGATTGTATACTTAGTGGCCTTTTTTTTTTTTAGTGCTTGCACAATTTTTAATGATTTTTGTTTCTCTGTGTAAGTTAACGATTATGAACTTCTGTAAGTCACTTGTGGCTTTTTTTGTTATTAATCGTGCACTTTTGTAAGTCATTTTGTGGCCTTGTTATTATTAGTTGTGTATTTTTTCGATAGTTATTCTTTTCTGTGTTAGGTAATGATTGTAAACTTCTATAAGCCATTTGTGGCCTTATTATTATTAGTTGTGCACTTCTGTGAGCCATTATATGGCATTATTATTATTAGTTGTGCATTTTTTTCAAATCCTTATAATTGTTGTATTCTTTTTAACCCACTTATAACGGTGGCCTTTTGTTTTCAGTACTTGTGTAATTTTTTAATGGTTTTTGTTTTTCTATATTAGTTAACAATTGTGAACTTCTGTAAGTCACTTGTGGCCCTTTTATTATCAGTCGTGCACTTCAGTAAGCTATTTTATGGCCTTGTTATTATTAGTTGTGCATTTTTTCAAATCCTTATAATAGTTGCACTCTTTTGTAACCCACTTTGTGGCCTTATTATTATTAGTTGTGTACTTTTCAAAATGTGAAGTTGTCACACATTTTGCTAGATTTTGCACTTTTTAAAAAAAATTGTGCCCTTCAAATTCACACTAAAACTTGAATTTTAGTACTCACTTTCAAATTAAAACTTGTTAAGAGGCCAAATACAGTAATTGTCATTATTAAGCAAGGCGTAAGTATATGAATATAAATTATAAGACAAAATAATAAAATTACAAATTGAGAAGACAATTTGTGCACATATGAAGTAGAAGTGCCCAATTCGGCGGCTAGGCCCCAATAGTCATGCGCCTTCTAAGTGGTATTTCCTTTATCCTATCAGCTGAGATATGCACTTTTCTTCTATTCCTGTTCCAAAGACATTTAAAGCCATTGGAGTTACCTTCAGGATTCATCCTTGCATTTGCTATATTTTATAAGCTGACTTCACAGATATACCAAAAGCGGTCACAACTTTTTTATAATTGTATGTGTTCAACTAACCATCTTCAACTTTAGACAGAAGCATGGTGCTCACAAAGATTTTGACATCATCAGCTAAATTTTTCCTTTTGTTCCCTCGTCTCACGTTGGTTTAAACAAAATTTTGGGGATTAGTCATATTATAGACAACTATAATCATTTGTGCTTCATTATGTATAGGATTCAAGTCTGGAAGATGCAAAGTACTGACTAATTCTGAACATGGTGAGACCGATTTAGAATGTTATGGAGAAGTGAATAGATTTTACTTGAATCAGATCATTAATTTTGATTTCATTTATATATGGCCAAAGTTTAGAAGTCGAGGAATCTGATTGAAAACTCAAAAAATTTGGCTCCAAATTCTATTTCATTTTGGCCGCAATGTATTGAATTTAGCACTACTTTTTAAATTTCATTTAAATTTGGAGAAATTAAATTTTGCTCTTAATTTTGAATTTGAATTGAAAAACTATTTAAGTTTAAACAAATTAGCGCCAAAATTTAGGTCTTCCCTCCTTTATTTTTAGCTGAAAATTTTGAAAATTATGGCCTCAATAAATAAGTTCAAAATTTTGTCCTTTAATTTAGCTTCAAAATTTTTTCATTTTTGGGCACATATTATGTAAAACGTCCACATTCTAATAAAGTGTAATAGAGTTAATAAAGAAGGTTGGAAGTGACGCCTAAATGATGCAAGTAGGTAATAAATGCACTTCTTGGAATTGCATTTTGTGTTAGCTATTATTACCATAATTAATAAAGAAATAAAGGACACTTTAGGAAGAAAATTTCGTGTAACTAACTTTCTTAATCGAAGAGCTTTATTCCGTTTTCTCTAAATAAAGAGAATAGAGGGAGTAATAGAGTTCACTAGTATAATAAAATCTTAATTAAAAAATAAATGATGAACTTGAAAAAAATTGATAGACCTTT